GTGTGTGTGTGTGTGTGTGTGTGTGTGTGTGTAATGTTGGTTTTGTTGCTTTAAACAGATTGGTTGGCTGTATTGTCACATCTGGATTGGTTGATGGAATGTTTGGTGAGGGTGATTGGTGATGGTGTCCTGTGTTGTTCTGGGTCCTGTGTTGGTTTTTGTGGCTGGGACTCATTTATTGACTAGGGCTAGTTTCCAGATTTCTGGTAGGCGGGAGGTATCATCGCATGTATTCATGTTGTGGGGGTGTTTCTCTACTTTGATAGCTGCAGAACTTGGAGAGTCAAGAACCAATTAAGTCAACTAATTGTCTCCTGCAAACTTCACTCCCCTTTCGCTCCTCTTTTATTTCCTCTGGGAGGGGCCATTCACTGTCCACCTATGGTCTTACTCCCAAGTCGACCCCTGTTCTTTAGCTGTTCCTTTTGTTTGGCAATTCTGCGCATGCGCACACTGGGGACAGGCTCCAGTTGTTTGTCTGCCTCACTGATGTCTGACTCTGAAGGCAGCTGATAATTGGCATATGGCTCCAGCTCACTCTCTGCCTCTGACAGAGGACCTTCATCAGAGCCTTCCCCAGACTCCAGGAATGGCCCATGTTCCTCCCCAACCTCCTGACTGTCCGAATCTCTGCCAGCTTTGCTGGCTGACCACAACATGGCCTCAGGAAGCAGGCAATGGCAATCCACTTCTCAAATCTTAAGAAACTGCAGGCAATCACCAGCCACCAATGAGTCATAGACATATACAGCTACATATTGTTATAACTTACTGAAGACTTTCTGTTTCCAAGCAGGGATATATAAAATTGTATGTCATCATTCCATTGGTTCCTGTTGCTGCTAACACTTGCAGAATATTATATCTCTGTCTCCATCCACTTTCCTGACTACTTATTAATTAGATCAATGTTTTTCATAGCAACTTTATGATATTTGGACTTCAGCTCCCGGAATTTCCCAGTTGGCATGCTGGGAAGTTCACACATCTTAATGTTGCCAAGTTTGAAAAAAAAATCTAGATAAAATTCTCCTTTGAGTCAAAGACGATGATGTCACTGCCAAATTCCATGTTTTTATATCAGGTCATCCTCGACTTGTGACCACAATTGAGGCCAACCTTTATGTTCCTAAGCAAGGCATTTATTATATCAGATTTGCCCCATTTTGTGACGCGTCCTGTCGTTAAGGGAATTGGTGCAGTTGCTTAGGTAATAACATGGTTTTTGAGTGAATGTGGTTTCCCCATTAACTTTGCTGGTCAGAAGGTCACAAAAGGTGATTGCATGACCCCGGGGCTCTGCAACTGTCATAAATATGAGACAGTTACCAATCTGAATTTTGGATCACGTGACTGTGGGGAGGCTGCAATGATCATAAATGTGTAAAACAGGCTGTAAGTCGCTTTTTTCAGTGTAACTTCAAGCCGTCACTGAATGAAATGTTGTAAGATGAGGACTACCTGCAATAGTAATCATTAATAATAATAATTGTTTGTAACTTATGATTAATGTTTATGATTATGATCTATGACCTATTACTTGCTTTTTATATGCGCACTGTGAGCTTATGCACTGGAGACCAATTCCTTGTGTATCCAATCACACCTGGCCAATAACAAATTCTGTTCTGTTCCGTTCCGTTCTGTTTTGGTCCAGTACAGTCCAATCTATCTTCTCTTCTCTTCTCTTCTCTTCTCTTCTCTTCTCTTCTCTTCTCTTCTCTTCTCTTCTCTTCTCTTCTCTTCTCTTCTCTTCTCTTCTCT